ATTTTTACACTCAAAATATATCATTTCTTCTCTGCCAAAGAGTCTGAAAAAATTATCTGCCATGAAACACTTCCTACAAATAAGGAGCCCTTGTGATCTGGTCACCAAAGATATGAAACTAATGCAACTCAGTCCCTTCGGGGATGACTAAAGTGCCAGATGCTTAAAAAAAAAAAAAAAAAATCCAGATTTGACATGATCTAAGAAGAATCTGGTCTACTCAGATGAGAATAGGGAGGATATACATGATCTTTTCATCCTGAAGTCCTCCTCAAAACTCAAACAGATGTAAATTTGAAAAAAGAGAATCTCTTTTTGTATTGCAAACATTTTGTATTAGGGAAAAATAAAAATTCTTAGGAAAAATCTGAGAAAGAACAAAGTGATAGTTGTATCAGAACATTCTTCTCATTGTGTGGAACTTTACCAAACATTATAAAAATCAAATACATTAAGAACCTACATATTGGGCGCCTGGGTGGCTCAGTTGGTTAAGCGACTGCCTTCAGCTCGGGTCATGATCCTGGAGTCCCGGGATTGAGTCCTGCATCGGGCTCCCAGCTCCACGGGGAGTCTGCTTCTCCCTCTGACCTCCTCTTCGCTCCTGCTCTCTCTCACTGTCTCTCTCTCTCTCTCTCTCAAATAAATAAATAAATAAAATATTTTAAAAAAAACTAAAAAAAAAAAAGAACCTACATATTAACTCTCAGTATATAATCCAGCAGGCCTCAACATAAGTGTAGCTATGTGTATTTAGTTTTCTCATTTCCAGTTAAAATCTTAATTGTGGATAAATCAAGATTTATCTCTTTTTACATTTAAAGATTTTCTGTGCCTAAGAGCTGAATTTAGCACTAGTCTGGGGCTTCCAAAAACCACAAACCAAGATGGGATTAAGCATGTAAGGATTTTATTAGAGGAAACACTATGTAACAGGAAATAGAGAGCCAGCATGGCTGGGAGAGGCATGAGTCCAATCCTGAGTGAAGTAAGAAGGAGAGAATGTTGGGTGGAAGCATTCTAGAATGTAGTGCACCCTAAGGAAGGTTTGACAAAGCTGCTGAAGGAGTCTTGAGCCCAAGTCATCCTGCAGAAGAGGTGTTTCCGGGGCGCCTGGGTGGCTCAATTGGTTAAAGCCTTTGCCTTCGGCTCAGGTCATGATTCCAGGGTCGTGGGATCGAGCCCCACATCGGGCTTTCTGCTCCGCAGGGAGCCTGCTTTCTCCTCTCTCTCTCTGCCTGCCTCTCTGCCTACTTGTGATCTCTGTCAAATAAATAAAATCTTAAAAAAAAAAAAAAAGGTATTTCCTAGGAATATCTGCCTTAGTATCCTGCTGTATCTAGTCATTGGTGGGGAGCAGCCTATGGGAGGTATGTGTTCATATGTACAGTGATACATTTCAGAGTGCAGCAGCTGGGGCCCTGGGTCAATTATGTTCCTTATAAAAAGAGGTCTGTAAGGGGTGCACCCAAGTGGCTCAGTTTAGCGTCTGACTTCGGCTCAGGTCATGATCACAAGGTCTTGGGATTTAGCCCCACATCAGATGGGAGTCTGCTTGTCCCTCTGCCACTCCCTCTGCTCATGCTCTGTCACATAAATAAAATCTTAAAAAAAAAAAAAAGAGGTGTGTGAGGCATATTCTCACGACTGCCTCAGCACCTGAATAATATGCAGATGTAGAGCTATCCGAACGCTTAGCAAGAGGAAATGGAAGAGGAACACCTGAGGGAAATGTACAAAACCAAGAAAGCATGTGTACATTGAAATTTCCCATGGGTAATTCCAATACCCAATCTCCGCTTTCTCTTTATTGCTATAAATACTATAAATACTGGCCTGTCTTCGGGTATACTTGCTTTTACTTCTGGGTGCATGGAATGTCCTGCATGAGGGCTTGGGAGATAGGCGGGAGACTCTCTTGGTAGCAGGCTCACCGAAATAAGTCTCTGGGGGGGGGGCGCCTGGGTGGCTCAGTGGTTAAAGCCTCTGCCTTCAGCTCAGGTCATGATCTTGGGGTCCTGGGATCGAGCCCCACATCGGACTCTCTGCTCAGCGGGGAGCCTGCTTCCTCCTCTCTCTCTCTGCCTGCCTCTCTGCCTACTTGTGATCTCTGTATGTCAAATAAATAAAATCTTAAAAAAAAAAAAAGTCTCTGGATTCCTCATTGTCCTGCAAACTAATATGAATGCTGATACTAATGCTACTATATTCTGCTAGTGCCTGGGAGCGTTCTTCACAGGGTTCTGAGCCATTCCATTTCAGAGTCTCAACAGTTTCTGGAGTCACCTTTTGTAACGGAGTTGGAGAATTTCAGGTATGACAAATCCTATGGTGATAACCAAAGAAATTAAACAGTAGAATCAAATCCAGGGAATATGAAAGAGAAGAGTTAGCAGGCCTCTCGAGGGACTAAGTACAAAGGTAGAGGGAAAAAAGTCAAAATGACTCAACTTTTCATCTCAAGTATTAGAAAATGGCTCTGGACTGACTTGTTTTGCAGATCCCTCATTTCAAATCTTCATTAACCAACTTTGCATCTCAACCAAAAGAAGCATTCTTTGACACCAATCTCGGAAAAGGGTGAGAGAGGAGACTTGGCAGCTGTGGTAGAGAACAAGGAAAGGCTATGTTGGTATCGGTCACCCCTCCTCTCTCCCGGACCTGATTTCCCTCCCTTAGATTGAAAGCAGTCTCAGGAGCTGTGGTCTTCTTTTTCAAGACAGATTTGCATGGTGAGTGACAGGACATTAATACCCCTTTTCATGCCACGATTTAGTACATTCTAGGCCTCTTTTTTTTTAAGTGCTTGGTTTGTCTTATCTGGGAAGTTGGCTTGGCTATGAAAGAACCCACTCAAGGAGCCTATCGAACATCATAGCAGCACCTGCCTCCTGAATAGACACCAGTTTTATTTTATTTTATGATTATTTATTTGAGAGAGCAGAACAAGTGAGAGAGAACATGAGTGAAAGTGTGGAGAGGGAGGGGAAGAGGGAGAAGCAAACTCCCTGCTGAGCAGGAAGCCCAACTTGGAGCCCCATCCTAGGACCTTGGGATCATGACCTGAGCCCAAGGCAGATGCTGAACTGAATGGGCCACCCAGGTGCCCCTAGACACCAGTTTTATATTGTTCCACTCCACAGGTCCCCTCCTACCAACACCTGCCTTCATTGCAAGGGCTGATTTTCAGGAGACGGGTTTTCTCTCAGTGGCTCAAGTTCTTTTTCTTACTTAGAGAAGGGAAAAATGCAAAAAGGAGAAATAAAAACATTTCAGCTGGCTAGATTGTACTTACTTTGACAACAGCACCACCAGCTATTACGAAGAGAGTTTTAGAAGGGAGGTAAGAGTGATGGCAATGAATCCAGTTGATTTTTTTCCGTAAATTATTTCATGTTTGGTTTGCAGATCAAGTAAGTAATACTGTAAATAAATTTAATGATGTCTTACCACATCAAAAGTGGACAAAATGGCTGTCATACCTGGAGACTTGAAATTATTGCGTTTTACTTTTCAGAGAAAATGATTTTATTTTTATAATGTTCCTTTATTTTGTTTGCAAAAGATAAAATTTTCCGCCTATTCTTTGTAAGCCCCTCTTTGTATTTGGCCTTGAGGAAGAAGTTCCCAACTTCTGATTTTAAGACAGAAAAATCCCACATCCTGGGAAGCCCCTCAGGACTGATCATGCTGTCAGGTGCTTTTCCTAACAGATGGGTGTAACTCAAACTGCATTTCCAGGTTGGAGATGAGATTCCTGCTGATGTTAAGCACCTGAACTTGCCATAATGGTGGCCACTAGACACATGTAGCTACTGAGCACTTGCAATGTGCCTAGTGCAAGTAAGAAACTGAATATTAAACTTTAATTTTAAATTTTATATTTAAAAATTAATATTTTGGAAAAAAACTGTTTGAAATAACTTGAATATGTGAATCTACTTTTGCAATTGTAAATTTAATAAACCCTAAGTACAGATTAGGTATTTCCAATGAACACTTAACTTCCAAGTAGGAATTTACACCAGGGGTAAAACACACATTGCATCTTGAATTTAGAACCAAAAAAGGGAATGTAAAAAATATTAATTTTATATTGATGATTGTTTTTAAGATACTGCATTCAAGAAAATACGATATTAAAACACAAATTTCAGCAATTTCTTTGTACTTTTTCAAATATTGGCTCCTGCATAATTTTAAATTACATGTGGCTCATTTTATTTCTAGTGGACAGCAATGACCTCGACGGCCTGGCAAACAGTAAAAACCCCCATAACGCCGGCTCTTACTTGCGTGAGGATGAGAATTTGGAATGAGACTGGTTCCTTTGTGAAGATTAGCAGTGCTTAACAACTCACGTTGAGAATTACTCATCCTGATTATACAATATCATATCCTTAACTGGTCTCGTGAGCCCTTCAAGTTCCTTTTTGCAACATGGAGGACTAGGAAAAAACAGTTCTGGTAAAGAATAAAGGACTGGTGGTAGCAGCTAGACTGTAAGCTGAGCTTTTAGTCTCGTCCCTTCGGGCTTGGTGCCAGCCGTCCCATTTCTAGACTCGCCACACCGGCGCGTGCCCCATGGCGGCTCCCAGGCCCTGCGGCTGCCCTCGCCATGCAAACCTGTGGCCCTTCCCGGAAGCTTTTCCATTTCTCCCCAAAGGAGAAACACCTGAAGTCCGCAAGGCTCTGGTGCCTCCCCAGCAGTGCGCCCCAGGTCTAGGAGAAAACACTCGTGGACAGGGAAGGGGAGCCGCCGCGGGAGAGCCCCACACCGACGCGGCCCGGCGTCCCGAAGGCAGACAGAGGCTGCGGCCGCCGGACAGCGAGAGAAGACGCCAGGCGCGCGGAAGGTAGGCGCGCTGAGGCCGGGGGCGGGCTCCACGCCCCTTTCGGATCCCCGAGCGGGGCTGATGACGAACACAGAGCGCGACGGCGCACACGCTGCCCCGCGCTCGCACGACGGTGCGTGCAGGGAGCGCGAGGGAGCACCGGGCCGTCACCGGCGCGACCAGCGTTCCGCCTCCTCCGCTCCCTGCGCTCCCGCCACCTCGGCAACTCGGCGCCCGCCTCCCGCCTCCGTCCGAGGCCTCCGCCGCAGCGAGGCTCCGGGCCTTGCTCCTGTCTCTTTAAATGGTGGGGCCAACGGGCCGCCCCTGCAGCTGCTGCCTGGGTGGCCCCGCGCGCCGCTATTGAGGGGCGAACCAAGATGGCGGCGGCTTTGGCTGTGTGAGGAAGACGGAAGAGGCGGCGGCAGCGGCGAAGGAAAAGGGACTTCCAGGAGGCAGGAGCGCTCGTGCGCCTGGGGGTCCTCGCAGTCTCCCGCCCATTGGCAGCAGTTGCAGCAGGAGCAGGCGCCCCTCGGCTTGGGACATTTGAAGCAGGCGAGCAGAGCGGAGCCACTGGCTGCGGTGGCAGGGCCAGGTATAAGGAAGGAAAACATGGCGGCGGCGGCCTGAGGAGGCGGCGGCGGCGCGGGAAGCGGCTTCGTGGAGCTCATGGCGGAGGCGGGAGCAGGGCAGTGACAAGCGCCCCGAGTTGTTACCGCATCGGGCCAGAGACTGTGAAGCGCTGCGCGCCCCTTTCGGGGCGGTCGGGCTCGCCGGGCTTGGACAATAGCGCCGAGGAGTCGGAGGCGAGGAAAGACCGGGGCCCAGAGCTCGGGCCCGGGAGTGGGCCATGCGGGCGGCCCCGCGGCCCCGCGACGGCCAGCGGCGGCAGTGAGGCCCAGGAGTTCTCCGCTTGCGGGCGTCCTCCCGCCTTGGCTCCCGCGTGTCCCGGCCCCCTTCCTGGGCGACTCCAGCGGGGCCTTTGCCCCGGTCCCCGGGCGGCACGATGACCGACACCCGACGGCGGGTGAAGGTTTACACGCTCAATGAGGACCGGCAGTGGGACGACCGGGGCACCGGGCATGTGTCGTCCGGTTACGTGGAGCGGCTGAAGGGCATGTCCCTGCTTGTCAGGGCCGAGAGCGATGGTAAGTGAAGCCCCTTGGGGTGGGTCCCTTGCTTTCCTCCACGGCTCCCGAGCCACATCCCTGGTTGTTGAGGGCTGGTGGCCCGCTAAGAGAACGGAGGGGGCGACTGGGCTGGGGGTGGCTGCCGCCGTGGGGGAGGGCGGGCCACCAGCACCCCAGTTCTCTCGGAGCTAGCTGCACGGAGAGCGCTCGAAATGTCTTTCTTCCCAGCGCCTGGTAGCAGTTGCGGGGACGAGGGGAGTCCAGCACATTTGAGCTGTGCTGCCTGGGCGTTTGGAGAGGAGAGGTCGGGGGCCTGGGATCGGGAGCCCGGACCGTGCTGTTCTTTTGCACTAGAGTGACCTTGAGAAAGGCACTGATTAATCCGATCTGCCTTAGTTCACTCATCTGTAAAGCAGGCGTGAAACTTTCTCGCAGCGAAGAAAGTTCTTAGGTGTTTCACTCTTTGGTGAACGTTTTGCTGTGCCCCCCTCCCCACCGCCCCTTTAGACTATTTTTCTGGTACATCTTTTTGATCCTGTCGCAGGTTGGCAATACCGGTTCATGGATCTGGCAACTGCCTTCGGCAGAGAAAATGCTTCTTTGCCTTGAGAGGATAGATTTGTGTTTCCCAGTGTTGTCTTTTTCACTAATAATGCAGAATTTTGTGTAGAGTTGGTGTAAACGGCTTGCAACTGTGGAACTATTTTATGCGAACTTTTTTGATTACTTAAATGTATAATCACAATTTGGTTCAGTTAACAGGTGGGGGGGAGAAGTTGGCAGATAACTTTAAAATCTTTATCTGCCATAGTACCAGTGCTTCACGTATTTTGAAATAGCCTTAAGATTCAAAAGACCCAGTTGCTTGAAAATAGGTGTTTCAGATTTTTCCAAACTTTGTTTAGGGTTTGCCACTTCCCTCTGTGACATACCTTGGATTTTGCTTAAAATGTTCACATCCTGTGAAAGTATTTGCGAATTGTTTCTTCTGAATTGGAAAATCTGTCTTGTTACATTAGTCTCTAATTTCCCGCTAGCTATTTCAGTTTATTACAATTGTATTTATTCTGTATCTGAATTAATTACAACTCAAGGGGTTTTTTTAAGGTTTTATTTATTTGTCAGAGAGAGAGTGAGAGAGCACAAGCAGAGGGAGAAGCAGGCTCGCTGCTGAGCAAGGAGCCCAGTTGGGGGACTGGATCCCAGGACACTGGGATCCTGACTTGAGCCAAAGGAGACACCCAACCGGCCAGCCACCCAGGCAGGCATCCCTCCTTTCAATGAATTTTAAGTGTATTTTTAATCCAGAACTCCGATTTCCATGAAAAACAAGACTCACCTTTCTGTAATTAAAGACTCTAGGCACATCGATTTTCAATTTGAATTGAAAAGTTGTAATTTAGAGTTATATAGAGTTATATTGTCCAAGGCTACCCCCAAATAACTTAATTGGAGATAAATTATTTCCTATTAGAGGGATTTAAAGGATTTTGAATACACTGAGTATATTTTTCTGAGGCCTATTGCCTCTTAAAAATACAAGCTTGAATGTGTCAGGTGCTTTTGTATGTTTCTATCACGTCACCAGCTACTCTCACATATCCTCCTTTGCATGTTTGGAAAACTTTACATAATGAGCGAAAAGTATGGGCTTTGTAAGTTCAGTTAACTTTCAGATGAAAGTATGTGTAGGTTTGAGATCAGTTCTTTGAAATCTCATAACACGAATAACTGTCAGATCACATATTTAATTGGACTCGTTATACAGAGTCCATTGTTTACAGTATTTTTAAGCATGAAGTTTTGATGTCATATTCTAGGGAATCCTACTCTAATAACCTACTAATGTAGGGATCTGGGGTTCCCCCCCATTTTTGTTTTTACCACTTTGGAAATAGACCCTAAACTCCCACCTTCCCTTGGGAAAGTTTGGGACTCTGCAATGAAATAGGTTGAATGGTAAAAGCAAAAGGCCTTAATTTTTTATCTATTAATTTTATTTATTTTTACTTATTGATAGAGAAAGGTGAAATAAATGTAACTGATGTGCCCTTGTTAATTTAAGATATACGGAAAACTAAATCCGGAGAGTGGGCTTAGAAGGTTGCAGCATACTTAGACGAAGTACTGTCATAAATGATTTCTAGTTTGATGATAAATGTTTTTTTCTAACAGGAAAACTCCAAATAGGAATGATAATCAAAATTTATCGAGTATCTACTGTGCTAGAGACTCTTTACTTGTATCTGCTGATATAGGTACTGTTGTTAGCCATATTTTGCAGATGGGGATACAGGTTCAGACAGCCTATGGGTGAGATTGTTATTAATTGGTATCATTAACTATTTACAGTGTGTTTTAAACATCCTTACTGCTGTCCACTTGAGTTTGCTACTTTATACTTAAAGGCTCAGAGTTTATCTCAAAGTACATGAAAAGAATTTTTAGCCTAAAGATATTTAAAATTACAGTGTATCTTAAAGCCACATGGAGTTTTTGTATGGACTGCTAGTTTGGGTCGTTCATTATTTTATACTTCTCCCATTCTCCATTATAGGATAATTGAAAATTTTCTTTTTATTGTGGTGAGCAAAGTGGAAAGTATTTCTGATTTTCCATAAAATGAGTCATTTGTCTTGTTAGAGGTGCTTATACACTAAATCGAAAATCAGAAAGGCAGTTTCTGAATGGAAGTACTTGCTTGTGGCCTCCCCATTAACAGGGCACATCTTTCTGAGTAAGTGTGCCTTTCTCCTCTGAACTGGATGGTTTGGCATATCTGTACCCCACCTTGCCTTGGAGGAAAGAGATGTTCTTGCAAGCAACTGAGCCCATAGGTTGCATCCTTATTTAGTAGGTTCCTACTGGCAAAAGTGTATTGTAGGAACATAGCCCTTTCTTTAATGAAGATAGATTACCTCATTTCTCAAGATTTTGTCATAGCCAGCTACCTGCAAAGTTCCATCTTCCCCCCCCCAAAAAATTACTTGGTATTGTTTTTTTCTTTCAATTTATAATGTGCCTGTTAAGTTGCACGAAGGGTAATAATGTCATCCCTTACTTGCTTTGTCACTTTATGTTCAAATCATTCTACTATTGCATTATGGTTTTTACCACTTCTACCTTCCAATTTTAGAATTGATAAAGACTTCAGAATTTCTCCACACACTGAAGGATGTCTTTTTAACATAAAATCATATCCATACTCTTTATTCTGGTTTACTTGCCAGGCATCAAGAATAGTGTTCCTGTATTTGGTTTTTACCTTAAGTTTTATAAAGTAATTTTTATATTTCAGATAGTTTCATGTATTATCTGAGTTGCCTATTTCCAAGTTTAAAAGGTTAAATTTTCAGTGTTATTTGAGGCATGAAGAAAATGAGGCATGGGTAAATATTTTTGTTCAAGTTAACACTGCTAGCTAATGGTAAAAACTAGAATCCTCTACCTCTGCCTCTTGTAGAACTTGGTTGTAGGTAGTGCCTCACCCCCACTATAATTAGAAAAGGAGGTCAGGGACGCCAGGGTGGCTCAGTTGGTTGGACAACTGCCTTTGGCCCAGGTCATGATCCTGGAGTCCCGGGATCGAGTCCCGCATCGGGCTCCCAGCTCCACAGGGAGTCTGCTTCTCTCTCTGCCCTTCTCCTCACTCATGCTCTCTCTCACTGTCTCTCTCTCAAATAAATAAATAAAATCTTTAAAAAAAAAAAAAAAAAAAGAAAAGGAGGTCAGAACACTTTAGGTGGAAAGCCTGGTTTGTTTCGCTTTGTTTGGGCTGTTGTGGTGAAAGAAATGAGCAGAGATGAGTATCAGCAATTTTTTTTCCTCTTACAAATTAATAAGCAGTATAGAAGCTTGCATACAGTAAGCATTCCAGATATAGCTACTGAGAAGAGCTCAGTGTCAGTACTGGGAGAAATACTTGACTTCGAAAAGTTCATTTAAACCCCCCCCCCCTTTTTTTTCCCCTCATGTAGACCTGCTTTGTAGAAAATTACTAGGCCTAGGGTAAGCAAACCCTTACTTACCATCTTCTGTGTGTGGTAACTTCTGACATTTTGAAGTCCATCAGCCACTCTGGGTATAGGTGATAGGGCCTGAGTGTAGTGAAGGCCTGATGCAGGCACGGGACCTTTTAATGTAGGGCTACCCCCCCTCCCCCACTCTGAGCCTTCATTTCAGTTTTTAAATGCTGTGTGTAATCGTGAGCCACAAAATTAGGAGAGAGTGAACACGGACTAGGTTTAAAGCCTACTCTGGTGTAGTGTCCAGATGATATTTTGGACTTCGATTGATTCATTATTGATGATTTTTTTCTTCCCATTAATGAAGCACAGTACTTAGGCTGCTGCCCTTATTTTGAGCATTAATAAAGATGATATACCAGCGATGCCTAGATATTGTGACAGAGCTGGACCTAGTCCTTCTGAAATCCTTAAGTATTTATCTGAATCTAAACTAAGATCAGGACCTATATTTCTTTAACTACTTGAATCTGATTGGTTGGTAGGTTGATACTGGACAAAGAACATAAAAGTTAC